TTACACCGACTGTCCCTGAGCAGCTGGAACACTGAGCTCCTGTCATCAAACTGCTACGTGGCACCACATCACACAGAAACACTGAGAGACACTGACAGAGACAGACACAGAGAGAAAGACAGAAACAGAGAGACACTGAGACACAGAGACACACTGACAGAGACACTGACAGAGACAGACAGACACAGAGACAGACAGAGAGAGACAGACATAGAGAGAGACAGACACAGAGAGACAGAGAGGCACTGACAGAGACAGACAGAGACACAGAGAGACACTGACAGAGAGAATGAGAGACAGAGAGACACTGACAGACACAGAGACAGACAGAGAGGCACTGACAGACACTGAGACACTGAGAGACACTGACAGAGACAGACAGACACAGAGAGACAGAGAGGCACTGACAGACACTGAGAGAAAGACAGACACAGAGAGAAAGACAGAAACAGAGAGACACTGAGACACAGAGACACACTGACAGAGACACTACAGAGACAGACAGACACAGAGACAGACAGAGAGAGACAGACATAGAGAGAGACAGACACAGAGAGACAGAGAGGCACTGACAGAGACAGACAGAGACACAGAGAGACAGAGACACAGAGAGACACTGACAGAGAGAATGAGAGACAGAGAGACACTGACAGACACAGAGACAGACAGAGAGGCACTGACAGACACTGAGACACTGAGAGACACTGACAGAGACAGACAGATACAGAGACAGACAGAGAGGCACTGACAGACACTGAGACACTGAGAGACACTGACAGAGACAGACAGAGACACAGAGAGACACTGACACGCAGAGAGACACTGAGATGCAGAGAGAGACACAAAGACACAGAGAGACACTGACAGACACAGTGAGGCTCTGACAGACAGAGAGACACTGAGACACTGACAGAGAGACATAGAGACACTGACAGAGACACTGACAGAAACAGAGAGGCACTGACAGATACAGAGAGACACAGAAATAGACATAGAGACACTGCGACACAGAGAGACACTGACAGGGACAGACAGAGACACTGACAGACACAGTGAAGCACTGACAAAGAGACACTGACAGAGACAGACAGACATAGAGACACAGAGAGACACTGACAGACAAAGAGACACTGAGACACTGACAGAGACAGACAGACATAGAGACACAGTGAGACACTGACAGACAAAGAGACACAGAAACAGACTGAGACACTGTGACAGACACAGAGACAGACAGAGAGAGGCAGACAGAGACACTGAGACAGACACAGAGAGGCACTGACAGAGAGACAGAACGATCGACAGAGACACTGAGACGCAGAGAGACACTCAGACAGAGATAAAGAGACAGACAGACAGAGACACTGAGACACAGAGAGAGACACTAAGACACTGAGACACGGAGAGACACTGACACGCAGAGAGACACTGAGATGCAGAGAGAGACACAGAGACACAGAGAGACACTGACAGACACAGTGAGGCTCTGACAGACAGAGAGACACTGAGACACTGACAGATACAGAGAGACACAGAAATAGACATAGAGACACTGCGACACAGAGAGACACTGACAGAGACAGAGAGACACAGAGACAGACAGACACTGACAGACACAGTGAAGAACTGACAGACAAAGAGACACTGACAGAAACAGACAGACATAGAGACACAGAGAGACACTGACAGACAAAGAGACACTGAGACACTGACAGAGACAGACAGACATAGAGACACAGTGAGACACTGACAGACAAAGAGACACAGAAACAGACTGAGACACTGTGACAGACACAGAGACAGACAGAGAGAGGCAGACAGAGACACTGAGACAGACACAGAGAGGCACTGACAGAGAGACAGATAGAGACACCGAGGCGCAGAGAGGCATTGACAGAGACACAGAAAGACACTGAGACGCAGAGAGACATTGACAGAGACACAGAGAGACACTAGGACGCAGAGAGTCATTGAGACACTGAGAGAGACACAGAGAGACACTGAGACAGAGAGACACTGAGACAGAGACAGTCAGACAGAGAGACATTGAGACGAAGAGAGACACTGACAGAGACACTGAGACACAGACAGACACTGAGATGCAGAGAGTCATTGAGACACAGAGAGAGACACTGAGACACAGAGAGACACTGAGACAGAGAGACACTGAGACAGAGACAGTCAGACAGAGAGACATTGAGACGAAGAGAGACACTGACAGAGACACTGAGACACAGACAGACACTGAGATGCAGAGAGTCATTGAGACACAGAGAGAGACACTGAGACACAGAGAGACACTGAGACAGAGAGACACTGAGACAGAGACAGTCAGACAGAGAGACATTAAGAGACACTGACAGAGACACTGAGACACAGACAGACACTGAGACGCAGAAAGTCATTGAGACACAGAGAGAGACACTGAGAAACAGAGAGACACTGACAGACACAGAGACAAACAGGCACAGAGACAGACAGAGCAGCTGTATCAGGTTCAATCAGTGAATTACTCTCGGTCTCTACCAGTTGAACTGCATATGAAAACACGCAGAGTCTCTGAACTAAGAGGACAGTCTTGGTCCACCTCAGACCCGGGTACTGATCTGCAGACAGTCTGTAGACCTGGTCCTGGACTCTATAGAGTTCTGGTTCTATGTGGTCCTGCGGGCAGGCCTCCATCCAGCGGGAAACCTCGCAGTGAGATGTGGGTCACATTCCTGTCTCCTGCCTTTGTTGGAGTCAAGTTAAAGAGACGGAGCCTCATTCAGGACTCCGGACACCACCGAGCTCAGGACACCAACTAAACAAGTTCGGAAAACTTCGGAGAGCTCGTGCAGCCCGAGTGCAGACGGTAAAGTTCGTCTGAAGAACGGGAGGTAACGGACTGTGTGTCTGTGTGTGTGTGTGTGTGTGTGTGTGTGTGTGTGTGTGTGTGTGTGTGTGTGTGGACTCTTTGTTAACTCTAAAGTCACTTACTTTGCTGCGGACTTCAGCTGATAATCCGTACGCGGGTCCTTTATTAAAATGAGTCATGGTCTTGGTTTCGCGCTTAAACACAAACTTAGATCCTCGTAGTCTGGTGGAGAAAAGTCCCGTAGATCAGCAGCTGCTTCGGGTCCCTGAACAGACCCAGACCGGGGGAGAAGATCCGAGACCGTTCACAGTGAAGAGCAGCACGGACCCTGCTGGAGACTCAGGCTGCAGAAAAACAGCCCCAGCAGCCAATCAGAGCGGCCTCCGTGTCTGTGGCCACTCCCCCTCCTGATGCTCCTCTCTTCAGGGCGGGTCACACTCCAGGTCAGAGAGGAGTTCAGAGTTAGGTCCTCCTCAGAGAAGGTGGAGGTTCTGGTGCTGGATCAGAGACTACAACAACCTTTACTGCCTTTACTGCAATGTTTACTCCTCTTTACTCCTCTACACTTGGAGACTTTTACTTTTACCAGCCCCAATAGTTTAACTCAGTAAACTATGGCAGAACAACAGCCACTCTTATTATATATCATATATTATAAATACATGTTATACCTGAGCAGAGGAGCTGGACTGTGACTCGGGGGTGGAGCTGTGGACTTTGAGGCTTCAGGTTTTGAAATGTGATGAAACTTGTTGAAGACAGACTCTGCCTCTGGTGAATCAGACTGTGACTGTGGGATGAGACGGTGCTTCAGTGACGGTCATACAGACACACTTATACAACAGTATGAGACTGTGGACTGAATGTAGGAGGGTTTAAACATTATCAGCTCTCTAGCAGTAGCTGTCTGACTCTCCATCACTCACCTGCCTCCATACAGTCAGTTTAACCTCTGGAGTCCGTCTGTAGCCACTGTTTTATTTATAGTTACATAATTTTACATGTCAAGACCAGCTGAGGAAATCAGTTCAACGTGCTGATGTGTGACTTTCACACACGATCACACAGTTTGAATTGTTCATATTTTCCATGATTTCCATTGTTTTATAATTTTAGTGAAAAAGGCCCAAAAATAAAACCCCTTTGATTGTAAATAGACTGTATTATATTTGTCAGAGTTCCAGTGGAGTTTGTGCTGAGAAAAGGAAACAAGGCATGTGGGCAAGGACAGTTCAGCAGCTGCTGCACAAAGACACATTAATGTATAAAGAAATCATCACAATGGACTCCAGAGGGTTAAATCTGTGTTGTGTCACAGTCAGTTCAGTGTGACTCCATCACTGATGAAGTGAGGACCAGACTGACACTGAGGTGATGGACCCTCCTCTGATCATGTGAACAGCTGCATCTCAGTGAGTCTATAAACAACTCCAGATGTCAGGCTGCTGCTGCTGCTGCCCCTCCTCCTGCTCCTCCTCCTCTGTGGTTTGGTTTAACAGCCTGTCTCGGAGCTCTTCCTGTCCACAGCTCTGTCCAGGAACAGGAACCACGACACAAAGAAAGACAAACAGCACTGACAATGGTCCTGACACACGAAACAACATTCAAGAGAAAACATGTTTTTTCAAGCAAAAACTTCAGTAATGAACAATCAGGGCGACACAGATCTGTCTCCATTAGGAAGGAGAGAAAACCCTTATTTATATAGATTATTTTTATATATAATATATACTGTATATATATATATATATATATATATATATGTATTATATAATATAAAATGTATACTTGGATTAGTCATTCCACCTTTTCACTAATTTGTGTCACGTTGCTTTAGGAGATCCTGTAGAATATGATCTATGGTCCAAGGCGCCTTCGTCACTGTCTGTTGTTGCAGCACATTTGACCTTTGACCTGTGATCTGGATGTTGCTTGCGGCCATGTTGATTGTTGAGCAGTAGTTTTTTTAAAGAGTGAGTCTGTGTGTCACTGTTTAAAGCTTGTGCAGATACAGTCCGGCTCTGACAGCAGAGTGAGTCGTGCACGTTTCATTCCCCTAACTAATCCCATTAAAGAAGGAAGGTGAATGTTTTCCTGTGTAACAGCAGGTGCACTGTTAGACCTCACACAGAATGATTCATGCTCAGACAATAAAAATAGATTTATTTATTCACATTCATACAGCAGACAGATGTTTTCATAAGATGTAACCCATGTTTTCACACGATTCTTCCCAGGAAAATGGAGCGGGGGTATTTGTCCCTCAGAGAGGACCACTGCACAAAGAAGTAGTCTGAGACCGGGTACAGGATCCTCCCCGTCAGGGACAGAGTCTGGACCCGGCAGATACTCTCCACATACACAATCAGGACTTTCTTCATTCCCAGAATTCCAAGCAGCAGTCCTGCCACACACAGGGGAACGCAAGTCCCAGGGCCATTACACAGCACCTGAAAAACCCACACACACACACACACACACACACACACACACACACACACACACACACACACACACACACACACACACACACACACACAGAGTCAGTATCTGTTTAATCTCTGTGTGTGATGATGATGATGATGATGATGATGATCTATTTTACAGGTAGTCCCTCTGGTTCTCTGTGGGGTGGGGGTGGGAGTGTTGACCCTCTGTCTGTGTTCAGGCTCAAAACACTTGAATATGTGTGTTTCTGTGTGTATATTATAGTTATTATCAAGTCCTTTAAATTACTTTTAATTTCTCGATCAAAACTAAACTTTGTTTAAAACTATTTCAACACTACACAACTGACCTTCAATGGACCAACTCTGAAGAGGACACATGGACTGTTTGATCACACTCAGCTGTTCTGGGTAGACTGTTATTGATCCATTGGAAAGATTATTGCTCCTATCAATCATTATTATCTTTAATCGTTATCTTCAGTTATCAGTTACCTGTTTGAAGCGTTTATATATATTATATTAAACAGCAGCTCTGATTGGCCAGACACTCAGCAGCTGCACTGAGACCAGTTAGATCAGTAACACTGTAACACACTCAGTAACACACTGACTGTAGATCAGTAACACTAGATCAGTAACACTGACTGTAGATCAGTAACACTAGATCAGTAACACTGACTGTAGATCAGTAACACACTGACTGTAGATCAGTAACACTGACTGTAGATCAGTAACACACTGACTGTAGATCAGTAACACTAGATCAGTAACACTGACTGTAGATCAGTAACACACTGACTGTAGATCAGTAACACTAGATCAGTAACACTGACTGTAGATCAGTAACACACTGACTGTAGATCAGTAACACTGACTGTAGATCAGTAACACACTGACTGTAGATCAGTAACACACTGACTGTAGATCAGTAACACAGTATCACGTCTGATCACTTCAATTACACCTTTAATGTGTGAAATGGAGTTTAAAGAAGAAAAGACACTTCCTGTTTCTCTAGAGTGAATGTGTTTGTTCTCACAGCTGTTCTCTTCTTTTAATGAGAAGATAGCATTCATTATCATTAATAATCTGTCTGACATGTCGTCTCTGAGTCTCTGTCTGTCTGTGCAGCTGCTCAACACAAACACCTGTGTCACTTTCTACCTGAGACAGCTGGTGTCAGTGTGTGTGTGTGTGTGTGTGTGTGTGTGTGTGTGTGTGTGTGTGTGTGTGTGTGTGTGTGTGGCTCCACTGAACCTTATCTACTGTATCAGCTCTGTGTACAGGTGAACAGACTGGTTTGATTTTCACTGTGAGACACATTGTGAACATGAAGCTCAGGTAGAGGAGGTTCATACAGCGTCAGCACGACACCCACAGATACAACTACAACAACAACAACAACAACAACAACAACAACAACAACAACAACAACAACAACAACAACAACCATCATGTAATGTCACTAACACTGCAAACATCTAACAGACAGAGAGACTCTCTGATGCTTTTCTCTCTGTTACATGTTCAATGTCTTTATCTGAGTTAGTAAGCTCCTGACCTGCAGGTGAACTGTGTGACATCATACACTCAGGTGTGTGTCTTTCCTAACTGTCCAATCAGGTGTTTTTTACCACAGGTGAACTCCATCAAGTTGTAGACTCATCTCAGTTATAATTAAAGGAAACAAGAAGCAGCTGATCTCAGATCAGAGACACAGTGAAGAGTCTGAGGAGAGATTGAGTTAATGAGAGATTTCAGTTTTTGACTTTTAATAGATTTACTAAAATTTGCAAAAACATATTTTCTTTCATCATGATAGATTACTGAGAGCAGATTGGTGAGTAAAAGTTTAGGGTTAAATCTATAGAGACAGTGAGGAGGCGGACAGAAACAGCTGTCCAACATGTGTTCACACAGCAGCTCTGTGTGAACCTACTGCAGCTGATGAACATATGAACACAGGATCCTGTACAAACACACCTGGTCTTCTCTGGACAAGTTGTCTCCAGACTGTCACTCAGTGTATCTTCCATCTGTCTTCTACATCCAGCTCCAGCAGCCTGACACCAGGTCTCAGCTGTGACTGGAATAATGACTGTGGTTCTGCACTGATCACATTTCCTGCGTCACAATTAGACTGTGTCCATGAATGAGACAGAGGCTTGTAACTCAAAGAGCATGATCTCGTTATGTAACATTGTTATGTTTGTATGAGGACGTTTTTCTGTTTATATCAGTGGATTATCTGCATGTGGCTGCAGGAGAGAGGGGCTCTGTAGTACTCTGTAGTACTCTGCAGGACTCTATAGGACTCTGTAGTACTCTGCAGGACTCTGCAGGACTCTGTAGTTCTCTGCAGTACTCTGTAGGACTCTACTGGACTCTACTGGACTCTGCAGGACTCTGTAGTACTCTGTAGTACTCTGTAAGACTCTGCAGGACTTTGTAGTTCTCTGCAGGACTCTGTAGTACTCTGTAATACTCTGCAGGACTTTGCAGTTCTCTGCAAGACTCTGCAGGACTCTGTAGTACTTTGTAGGACTCTGCAGGACTCTGCAGGAGTGTGTAGTACTCTGTAGGACTCTGCAGGACTTTGTAGTTCTCTGCAGGACTCTGTAGGACTTTGCAGGACTCTGCAGGACTCTGTAGTACTCTGCAGGACTCTGTAGTTCTCTGCAGGACTCTGTAGTTCTCTGTAGTACTCTGTAGTACTCTGCAGGACTTTGTAGTTATCTGCAGGACTGTGAAGGACTCTGTAGTACTCTGTAGTACTCTGCAGTACTCTGCAGTACTCTCTCCGCAGGACTCTGCAGGACTCTGTAGTACTCTACTGGACTCTGCAGGACTCTGTAGTACTCTGCAGGACTCTGTAGGACTCTGTAGTTCTCTGCAGGACTCTGCAGGACTCTGTAGTATTCTGTAGTACTCTGTAAGACTCTTAAGGACTTTGTAGTTCTCTGCAGGACTCTGCAGGACTCTGTAGTACTCTGTAGTACTCTGTAAGACTTTGTAGTACTCTGTAGTACTCTGTAGTACTCTGTAGGACTCTGTAGGACTCTATAGGACTCTGTAGGACTCTATAGGACTCTGTAGGTCTCTGCAGGACTCTGTAGTTCTCTGCAGGACTCTTCAGGACTCTGTAGTACTCTGTAGTAGTCTACTGGACTCTACAGGACTCTGCAGGACTCTGTAGGACTCTGCAGGACTCTGTAAGACTCTGTAGTATTCTGTAGTACTCTGTAAGACTCCGCAGGACTTTGTAGTACTCTGTAGTACTCTGTAGTACTCTGTAGGACTCCGTAGGACTCTGCAGGACTCTGTAGTACTCTGTAGTACTCTGTAAGACTCTGAAGGACTTTGTAGTTCTCTGCAGGACTCCGCAGGACTCTGTAGTACTCTGTAGTACTCTGTAAGACTTTGTAGTACTCTGTAGTACTCTGTAGGACTCTGTAGGACTCTGCAGGACTCTGCAGGACTCTGTAGGACTCTGCAGGACCCTGTAGGACTCTGCAGGACTCTGTAGTTCTCTGCAGGACTCTTCAGGACTCTGTAGTACTCTGTAGTAGTCTACTGGACTCTACAGGACTCTGCAGGACTCTGTAGGACTCTGCAGGACTCTGTAAGACTCTGTAGTATTCTGTAGTACTCTGTAAGACTCCGCAGGACTTTGTAGTACTCTGTAGTACTCTGTAGTACTCTGTAGGACTCCGTAGGACTCTGCAGGACTCTGTAGTACTCTGTAGTACTCTGTAAGACTCTGAAGGACTTTGTAGTTCTCTGCAGGACTCCGCAGGACTCTGTAGTACTCTGTAGTACTCTGTAAGACTTTGTAGTACTCTGTAGTACTCTGTAGTACTCTGTAGGACTCTGTAGGACTCTATAGGACTCTGTAGGACTCTATAGGACTCTGTAGGTCTCTGCAGGACTCTGTAGTTCTCTGCAGGACTCTTCAGGACTCTGTAGTACTCTGCAGTAGTCTACTGGACTCTACAGGACTCTGCAGGACTCTGTAGGACTCTGCAGGACTCTGTAAGACTCTGTAGTATTCTGTAGTACTCTGTAAGACTCTGCAGGACTTTGTAGTACTCTGTAGTACTCTGTAGTACTCTGTAGTACTCTGTAGGACTCTGTAGGACTCTGTAGGACTCCGTAGGACTCCGTAGGACTCTGTAGTACTCTGTAGTACTCTGTAAGACTTTGTAGTACTCTGTAGTACTCTGTAGGACTCTGTAGGACTCTGTAGGACTCTGCAGGACTCTGCAGGACTCTGCAGGACTGTGACTGTGTCACTGAGGGTGCAGATCTAACAGCGGACTGGTCTGGTCTCACTCACCATATCAGGTCTGAGTCTGAAGACCAGGGGGAGGGAGAACCTCAGGGCTTTCAGGGTGCTGACCACAGACGAGGTCCAAGACTGATGGACTTCCCGGCTCCGGGGGATCCGACAGATGGTGAACTGAGGGACAGAGAGGGTCAGTCCAGGATCAGAGACATGTTGTTCCTCCTGTCTCCAGACCCACACAGAGGAAAAGATTCAAACACATCAGGACCAGAACGATCCACAGACCCAGATTCATCCGCAGCAGAAAGTAGTTCTCACACAGATCAAGCAGGAACCAGTTTGTTTCTACCTGAGACCGTGTCAGGAGCAGAGAGGCTCAGGCGAGAAGAGCGCCAGCACCACCTGCTGGTGAACACCAACACCGCAGCCCATCACTCGCTAGTTATCACCACCAGTGTCACACAAGTCCAGCTGTGCTGTCACAGCTGGTAAACGACTGACTTACTGTTTCCTGTCTCTGTAGAAACACCTTGTGGAGGAAACTGTTCTGTCAGTTTCAGATCATGTGACGTCCTGTACAGACTTCAGCTGCTCACCAACACTCAGCACTGTGTCCTCTCTCTCTCTCTCTCTCTCTCTCTCTCTCTGACAGTAACAGTGATGACTGGTTTACACTCCATGTCAGAAGATCTGCTTTATCCCCCATGACTCACTGCAAATCACTGTACAAACTTATTCATTTGAAATCTTCTAACTTCTCTTTGAACCTGCTTTAATTAATTTTGTTGATACGTTATTTATTAACTGTATTGATATAATATGATTTTCAGGTTTAAATAAAGACGTAATAATGAACCTGTGTACAGGTGTGTAGCTGTGACGTACCTGTGACTTAGAGTTTGGGTGTGGTCTAGAGTTTTCAAAGGAGCAGATCTTCTCCTCGCTCATCCTGTCAGTGTCAGCGATGACATAGTGTCGAGGTGAGTAAGCTGAAGACAGACTGTCCATCAGCCGCAGGATCTCTGTGGTGTGACCGCCTGGACCGTAACACACACACACACACACACACACCATGGAACAAATGTATTATTCCAATTAACCATTACAGATTCTTCTGCATCTCTCATAAACACTTCATATCCACGGTCAAATGTTTGAATACTCCCTGTTTTTATCTAAACATTATGACACTGGTGAACATTCAGCTTCACTGCAGTTTAACATATAGATTCAATGTATTAAACAAGAAGGTATATATTTTTTTATTTATTTGGTGAAGCGAGATAAAGACAAAGAGAGTGATCACATAAGACATAAGATAATGTTAACTGATGGCATTCACTACCACAGAGAACAGCTGACAGCCCTTTGTTATTGCTATAGATTAGATTATAGATTTCAACAAGTCGAACAATGATTCCTTGTTTTTAAAATCTGCAATTGATAATTATTTTGTGCATTAATTTCAGAAACACTGAGACACTGAATGATGTAAAGTTAAATAACAGGAAAGACAGAGGTGTTCTTCAGATTAATAGACCCTTCATATGTTCAGATAGTATTTGAGTTGTTTGTAGTCTGTAGTCTGGGCTGTTCTCCTGGTTTGGTCTAAACCCCAGTGTTGTAGACCTTCCCCCATGCTCAAAGCCAGTTCACCCAGTCTGAACAGGAGGAACTAGACCTGACCCCTGACCCCTGTCCTCAGCCCAGTCCAGCTCATCAGGACAGACCTGGACCAGAACCAAGCCTTCTCACCAAACCTCAGTCCTGGACCTCACTAGTTCTCTGGAGGCTGGATGAGACCAAATCCGCGCAGTCTGGTTCAAAGTCCCCTGAGGTGATGAGGCTGTTCCCGCGGGAGGTTAATGACCGGAGTGATGACATCACATTAGCAGGTGTCTACGTAATTATGACCATGTAGTTTATCTGTTGTCTTTACTATAATCAGATACTGTTCCTGTCTGGAGAAAACAGTAATGATGACCACCCCCATCCTAACCGATATTTTGGTACAGTCCAGTACGATACTTGTTGTTAGCATGGAAGCTAAGGAAATCGGCTAACGGCAGAACTCGCTTGATCTCCCTTCTGCACTAGAATTTGACGTAATATGTGACACGTCGTGAAGTTCAATAAATGGTTTGTCACTAGAACATGTCTGAGGTAATAGTTAATCTGTATGACGTCAGAGAGCAGCAGATATGACAGTACGTGGACGTGAGTTTACGTTAGTAACGTTACCTGATCCCACGACGACGAGCACAGAGACCGGACCTCTGGTTCCGGGTTTGAACTGCGATCCAGTCTTCACAACGACAAAAACCCGGATAATAAATAACACACAGAGGAGTAACAGGGCGAGCACGGCTCCCTCCACAACCGACATGGTGGATGTGACCACGTCAGGTGCTGAGGAGGGTTTACAGCCCTGAGTTCAGCCTGTCAGACAGTCTTCTCTGAAGATGCGTTCAAGTCCCTCCGCCTCCAGCCGAGGGCGGATGATCTCCACCCAACCTGCCCCGTGTCAAAGGTCCAGACTGGTGGTGGTGTGATACTTTATTAATTTTATCTTTAAAATAAAACTTTATTTTATTATTAACAGAGCCTGGTTTTCACAGAAAGGTATAGAGGAAAGCAGGAAGTGAACCACAGACATCAAACACTCAGGAGTTTTTCGTTGCTTTGGGATTTCAGTAGAAAAATCTGAAATCTTTCCTCTGTGCCACAGAAAAATATCTTTTAAATCCTGCCTGGAAAACCTGTTTCAGGGCAAATACTGCACAATAGCATTTTATTCTTCTCTTATCAAAAGAGGGATCAAACCCTCAGAGAGAGATAACGTGAAAGGCTGGTTAACAAATATTCAGATTGTCTGTGTAGCATCAATTCTTTTTTCATGCAGAACAAAGATTTTGAAAACTTTGTAATAATATTGTAGCTCTGATCGTTTCTATAGAAGTCAATGTCGTTTTTGTAAATCTTGTTTTATATCTTGTTTTTTGCCTTATGCAGACTTTTCATCTATAGACAATCCATCTGAAAAATTTATTTACATTAAAAAAGATTAAAAAAAAAAAAGTTACATTTATTTTGTCTATATTGTTATTGTATTTTATCTCAGTTTATACATTACCTACATGCTATGCTAACACATTATTTTGAGAAGCACCCCATATGCAAATTTAATGTATGTACATATATTGAATATCGATATATGAAATATATGCACATATCAAATATATCTCAATATAACATATCTTAAATAATAATGGGATAAAAGACCTATTGACTTATATGTCCAGCCATATGTTAATGTATGTATGATTTTATTTTTAGACATATGTTACATAAATATATATCCATCTAAAGCCTGTAGCTATTATATATAACCTATTATTATTATTATTATTATTATTATTATTATTATTATTATAGATAGGATAGACATTAAAAGGCAAGAAAAATATCCATAATCATAGAAATTTAAATTGTATGTTGTTTTTACGCAACACATAACACCATATAAAAATTCATCATACAGATATTTTTATTATTGTACATACACCAATTTTACTATTGGTAAATCATCTATGCTATAAACGTATATGTTTATATATCCAGAGGATGTATATATGTGATATTAATGTAGGTGACATATATGTCATATATTCCATTTCTGTATGGGCCCCTCTTATCTCCGACAGGACGTGAACGCAGCATGTGTTCAGACAGCGGAGGCTGAGCAGCAGCAGCATCAGCATCAGGATGGACAGTTAGCAACTGGTCAACGTCTCTGCGTGAACACATCGTCCACGTGAAGGACAGGTGAGTAGCACACCGTCCCTCTGTGTGTTCTTCATCTCTGTGAGCGAGCGTGTCGTCATGTCGCTGAGTGTGCTGCTCGTTAGCAGCGGCAGCAGCGGCAGCGGCCGCCGTGCTGCAGCGCTACAGGTGCGGACAGGCTGCAGCTGCCGCTCCGCGTCCTTCACCGGAACAAGGTCTCAGTCAGAAAAGGTCACAGGATCCGGATCCTCCCGGTCCACTGAGCTGCTGCAGGAGAGGAGGGGTCAGCAATGTAGAACACACCGGCCTTTATTACCCCCCCCCCACCACCACCACCACACACACACACACACACACACACACACACACACACACACACACACACACACACACACACACACACACACACACACACACATACACACACACAGGGCCTGTGTTTTGATGCCACTTTCTAATGAGTTTATACGTTGTAATTTCGTTTAATCAATGTTTAATAAATCCTCTAATCATGCCTGATGATCAGTTATAAGTAATTAATAAGAGCAGCTTTTGGTTTGACAGCTATTCTGTGGTAAGTCTCTGGGTTCCACTTTACAATCAGACAACCCTTATAAAGGATTTATTAATGTTTTATAATCAGGTTAATAATTCAGTTAACACTTTATAGGTCATAAATAAACTATTATAAACAAGCTATAACCGTTTTCATACATTGATGCAGGATCACTATTTGGAAAGAGCAAGTTAATGATTATTACTCATTAATCTGTTGACTACCATTTAAAACTGGTAAATAAGCTTTATTATAAAGTGTGAAACATATCATCATTATTAATGAGTTACTATAAAGCTCCTTTCACCAGTTATAATTTTGGATAAAACCTAATTAATAACCTAGTTATAAATATTTATAAATCCTTTATAAGCAGATTCTGATTGGTTAATAAGTCATTTATTATTGTTAATAAGTCATTAATAGATAATTGTTATAATAATCCAGAGCAGAACGGACTCTGACTGATGACATCATCTTTATGTGTCCAGTTAGTGGTAACCAGTGACGACCTGCTTTATGATTGGTGCTAATTACAACCACAGGGATCAGCTGATGCAGAGTCAGTCTGATCAGGACGTCAAGAACAAGAGCTGATGAATAATCAATGCTCCGCTTGTCCTTCTCTTCCCTCAGTGAAGTCGTCCTCTCAGTGAACCACAGAGTGAGAAGAAGGATGGACTCCATCTCTATGATGGGCAACAGCCGGAGCCCTGTGTTCCTCACTTCCTCCTCCTCTCACTGCCCCTCTCACCATCCCCAGGCCTGCTTCCTGCCCAACGGCACCAAGAACGGCATCGGAGACGCGGGCGCCGCCTGTCAGCCGGCAGTGGCCATCCTGGGCTCCGGCGACTTCGCCAAGTGTCTGACGCTCCGCCTGCTGCGCTGTGGCTTCCATGTGGTGGTAGGCAGCCGCCACCCCAAACTGGCAGCCCAGTCGTTTCCTCACGTGGTGGACGTGACGCACCATGAGGACGCCGTGGGGAAGGCGAGCGTTGTGTTCCTGGCGATCCGCCGTGAGCACTACTCCGTCCTGTGGGACCTCAAACATCTACTGGAAGGTAACAACACAACAACACAACTACACAACTACACAGACACACTGAGAGCAGGTCACAGGATCCGGATCCTCCCAGTCCACCGAGCTGCTGCAGGAGAGGAGGTTCCTCCCGTCACACTCACTGTACAGTGATTGTAGAGGGAGTGATTTCATCACAGCCTGTGATGAGAGTGAACACCTGAACCTGAGCTGCAGGTAAAGTGGGTCTGAGTCACACTGAGGATCTTCAGTGTTAAAACCTCCGCTGAGCTTCAGATGTGTCTGCTCTCTGACAGTGTAGATCCACTGTGACAGGATGTATAGATATATCAGTATACACAGTGTGTAAGAGAGGACACATGAGGACCAGTGGGGACAGAGTCTGTCAGTGTGGACTCATTAGTTTTCTCTCTGGTTCTTTCTGTGTCTCAGACATTGATGCTAACAGCTGCAGCTCAAACATTTTGTATGAGGTTTAGATTGTATATATTAATGAATACTGCACTAATGATGCAGTCATCCTATAGACAGAGCAACATGAAGGTGATGGTGTAGTTCTGACTGGTGGCCGTACTGAAGCAGATCATACATATGTGATGACATGCTTTCATTTAAATACACTGACTGTTCATGCAGCAGCAGAGACTCCCTCAGACTCAGAGGTCTAATGTACAGCTGCACTTTAATGTATATTCAATGTATTAATCTACAGACTCGTATGTTTCCTACAGGAAAGATCCTGGTGGACGTGAGTAACAACAGGAGGGTGAACCAGTACCCAGAATCCAACGCTGAGTACCTGTCCTCCCTGCTGCCAGACTCCACCGTGGTCAAAGGCTTCAACGTCATCTCCGCCTGGGCCATGCAGCAGAGCTGCCCCAAGGATGCCAGCACACAGGTACACCCACACCTATCACACATACCTGACAACAACAACAACACAAAACAGTGTTAGGTCTGAGCTCTACCTCATGAGCTGGACACCAACTATGTGTTGAATTTTGGTTGTTTATCAATTTATTGGCTATCATAAATTAAGAAAATATTAATATTAAAAATATTAATATTAAATAATAACTTTAAAATTAATTAAAGTTCACGGGGCACCAGCCTAAACTAATAGGCAAAATAGCCAATATGGTTTTAGTCTCAAATTATTACCATTAATCTGGAACTCTGATTAACAATTAGCTTACTAACTATAACCAAACTGCCAAATCAACAGTAAGTTAAAGTTGAAGGATTGGAATTCTACAAAGTAGAGGTTGGCAATATTCACGCTTGTGCAACATTAAACACACCAGTAGTTATACTTAAAGGCATTTATTTACAATGGAGCAGAGTAAAACACAATGTCTGATCTAGTATATACAGGTGTGTGTATGTGTGTGTGTGTGTTTGTGTGTGTGTTTGTGAGGACACAAACAAAGGCAAGATGGCCGATTCAAAGTGGTCACTGTGACCACATGATCTGAACAAAGAAGACTACACAAGATGGCGGTAAACAAAGAAACTACTCAAATGGCCGCTGGACCACCTGGGTTGTGTGGAGGGAAGGTTGAGTTTCTTTGTTAGCCCTAGCTCATGTAATCTAAAGGTACCAGGTTAGAGGGGGGTGGTTAGCTTCATGCAGGTTCTAGAGCTGAGACTACTACTATGTGTGTGAACATACGGTACCTGATTAACTGTATGACTGACCACAACCAAGCAAACATTACAACAACAAGACATCAATCAACAAGTACATTAACAAAGTTAAGACTTCTGCTGCTTAGTTCAATGCTGTGCGGTGCTATGCTGTGCTGGGGAAAGGTTAGGCCCAGTCAGTTAACGTTACCCAGTCCTTGGAAACCAGCAAAGAGGTCCTCTCCAGTGTTTGGTGTTAAAGTCCAGTTGAGTTAGGAGATTTCCTGGTGAGTAAAGTCCTGTCTGGCTGTGTTTACTTTTGCAGTTATCGCCTTTGTTTCTCCTCACAGAGTTAGCTGTTCCATGCTAACTCTGCTACAGACTCCTGTTGCTTGGAAAACCAGCTGGCCTTGTGTCGTAGCTGCTGATTCTGAAGAGAACTTGGTTCACTCACAGTTGTGACGGCCTCCTGCCTCTAGGGCCTGCTGTTGGGTTTTGTGTTGGTTTCTTTTGTGTTGTGTTGTCTTGTCCTTTCCTACAGGTCGTAGGTGGGGCTTGCCACACCTGGGTGGACCTGGCCAGTCCACAGGATATAAAAGCCGGCATTACTCCTCACACGTTCTCTGACCTGCATGACTATGGGTCCTACCTGGCACGGCTGCACGACTGCGCCCGCGATCCCTCGGCGCCTTGTGTTTGGTTTAGTTAATTTATTTGTTAGTTTAGTTAGTGTTTGACTATGGTCCAATTTCCTACTTTTATATTGTTTGTAATAAAATCATGTTGCTTTTGCTATGGAAACCGTACGTCTCCTCGTTTTTGTCATGGCTTTGAGCCAGGTCGTGACACAGTTAATCCGAAGCAGGTCGCTGCTGTTGAGTAGAAGAGAGTTTGCAGGCTGCTGGTAGCGGGCTGGCGAGAAAGCTGGTTTCTCAGGTAGCAGGGCTGACCTGGGCTCGGACCTTGTTGCCCTTTGAAAAACTGAAAGGAGAGAGCTGGAGCTGCTCTCCAGAGCAAGCCAAAGGAGAAGAGAGCGAGAAGAGGGCCAGAGATCTGGTTTTGTTTGGTGACACCCTTGGGGGTCACATGTCACACGCTGACCCACACTGGCTGGCCAGTAAGGTCCGTGGGGGGAAGGGTCGTCCCCAGGTGTGAACGGTGAGGAACTGTGGAGTGTGAGTTCCTTTGTCCAGTGGAGCAAAGAAACATTTGGTCTCTTGAATGATGGAGTCCCAACAACAGTAACAACAACAACAACAGTAACAACAACAACAGTAACAGTAACAACAACAGTATCAACAACAACAACAGTAACAACAGCAACACAAGTAACAGTAAAAACAAAAACAGTAACAACAACAGTAGTAGCAACACCAGTAACAGTAGCAACACCAGTAACAGTAACAAAAACAGTAACAACAACAACAGTAACAGTAACAACAACAGTATCAACAACAACAACAGTAACAACAGCAACACAAGTAACAGTAAAAACAAAAACAGTAACAACAACAGTAGTAGCAACACCAGTAACAGTAGCAACACCAGTAACAGTAACAAAAACAGTAACAACAACAACAGTAACAGTAACAACAACAGTATCAACAACAACAACAGTAACAACAGCAACAACAGTAACAACAGCAACAACAGTAACAACAACAGTACCAACAACAACAGTAACAACAGTAACACAAGTAACAGTAAAAACAAAAACAGTAACAACAACAGTAGTAGCAACACCAGTAACAGTAACAAAAACAGTAACAACAACAACAACAACAGTAGTAGCAACAACAACAGTAACAACAACAGTAGTAGCAACAACAGTAACAGTAACAACAACAGTAACAGCAACAACAGTAACAGCAACAACAACAGTAACAACAACAATAACAACAACAGTAACAGCAACAACAGTAACAACAACAGTAACAGCAACAGCAACAACAGTAACAGCAACAACAGTAGCAACAACAGTAACAACAACAGTAACAGCAACAACAGTAACAGTAACAGTAACAGCAACAACAGTAGCAACAACAGGTACAACAACAGTAACAGCAACAACAGTAACAGCAACAGCAACAGCAACAACAGTAACAGCAACAACAGTAACAGCAACAACAACAGTAACAGCAACAACAGTAACAGCAACAGTAACAGCAACAACAGTAGCAACAACAGTTACAACAACAGTAACAGCAACAACAGTAACAGCAGTAACAGTAACAACAGTAACAACAACAGTAACAACAACAGTAACAGCAACAACAGTAACAGCAACAACAGTTACAGCAACAACAACAGTAACAACAACAGTAACAGCAACAACAGTAACAGCAGTAACAGTAACAACAGTAACAACAACAGTAACAACAACAGTAACAGCAACAGCAACAACAGTAACAGCAACAACAGTAACAGCAACAACAACAGTAACAACAACAGTAACAATAACAACAGTAACAATAACAACAGTAACAACAACAGTAACAATAACAACAGTAACAACAACAACAGTAACAACAACAACAGAGAACCTGACTGTTCTACCTGACTGTTCTACCTGACTTTTCTCTACCAGACAGTTCTACCTGACTGTTCTCTACCTGACTGTTCTACATGACTGTTCTACCTGACTTTTCTCTACCTGACTGTTCTACCTGACTGTTGTCTACCTGACTGTTGTCTACCTGACTGTTCTCTAACTGACTGTTCTACCTGACTGTTCTACCTCTACCTGATTGTTCTCTACCTGACTGTTCTACCTGACTGTTCTACCTGACTGTTCCCTACCTGACTGTTCTACCGGACTTTTCTCTACCAGACAGTTCTACCTGACTGTTCTCTACCTGACTGTTCTACCTGACTTTTTCTACCTGACTGTTTTACCTGACTGTTTTCTACCTGATTGTTCTCTACCTGACTGTTCTCTACAGGATTGTTCTCTACCTGACAGTTCTCTACCTGACTGTTCTCTACAGGATTGTTCTCTACCTGACTGTTCTACCTGACTTTTTCTACCTGACTGTTTTACCTGACTGTTTTCTACCTGATTGTTCTCTACCTGACTGTGCTCTACCTGATGTTCTCTCCCTGACTGTTCTACCTGACTGTTCTACCTGACTGTTGTCTACCTGACTGTTCTACCTGACTGTTCTCTACAGGATTGTTCTCTACCTGACAGTTCTCTACCTGACTGTTCTCTACCTAACTGACTGTTCTACCTGACTGTTCTCCACCTGACTGTTCTCTACCTGACTGTTCTCTACCTGACTGTTTTCTACCTGATTGTTCTTTACCTGACTGTTCTACATGACTGTTCTACCTGACTGTGCTCTACCTGATTGTTCTCTACCTGACTGTTCTACCTGACTGTTCTACCTGACTGTTCTACCTGACTGTTCTCTACCTGACTGTTCTACCTGACTGTTCTCTACCTGACTGTTCTACCTGACTGTTTCTACCTGACTGTTCTACCTGACAGTTCTCTATGTGACTGTTCTCTACAGGATTGTTCTCAACCTGACTGTTCTACCTGACTGTTCTCTACCTGACCGTTCTCTACGTGACTGTTCTACCTGACAGTTCTCTACCTGACTGTTTCTACCTGACTGTTCTCTACCTGACTGTTTCTACCTGACTGTTCTCTACCTGACTGTTCTACCTGACTGTTCTCTACCTGACTGTTCTACCTGACTGTTCTATCTGACTGTTCTACCTGACTGTTCTCTACCTGACTGTTCTACCTGTGCCTGAAGGTACAGGTAGAGGACACCTGTGTGTGTTTAATCTGAACCAACAGGTGTTCAGCCTTTTTCACAGATGAGACTTTAATACATCACGGGGCACAACGTGCAGTGTGTCGCCATGGTTACATGTTGACACACAACTGTACATCTCTGCTGGACCAAATTATGCTGCAGCTGTGAACTCCATCACTACCTGTTGTCGGGCAATAACTGACACACCTGAAATCCTACCGGTCTTCCCCTACACCAAAACACAACTGCTCTGGATCAACCCTGGATTAACTCTGAGGTTACATTCTGTGTTGTCTTAGATTCAGATCTGTGCTTCAGGTCCCACCTCAACAGGGTGATGAAAGTCTTAGAAACAGCTAAAGTGCGACTCTAAACCCAGAACCAGAACCGAGAGGAGAGACCACGTCAGTCCAGTTTAACTTCCTGTTACAGTTAGAACTAGCCTCCTCCTTAAACACAAAGACCTGAATGGGACAGAGCTACATCACTAACTCCCTGGTTCACTACAGACCTGAGAGAACACTGAGGTCCAGGTCCAGCAGCAGCTGCAGGAGAACCAGCCCAGAGTACATCACCTCCAGATACCACCGAAGAAGAAGCTCACCGAGTGTTTTTAAAAGACAGATAAAACCTCATCTCTTCACCTCAACTTTAACCTGCTCTCACTCTCCTGATACAAGATCTAATTCACACTGCTGCACTTCTGTAATAATAATAGTGATAATGATGATAATCTTTGTTTTGATCTTATTTGTATTATTATCAGGTGGGTTTAATTTTCCATTTTATCTTCCATTAATTATGACCATGATGATTATCTGTCCCAGTTTGTATGTTAATTTCACTTTCAGCTGCATTTCTTGTATGAACAAATAAAGTTAAATATTATGATTATTTATTTTTACCTGATGAAGCAGCAGTGTGTTTTCAGAAACGCTCTAGAGAAGACTGACATTCATTTAGGGAGGAAATCAAACTGAACGCTTTAGAGGAGAATTATTTTTGTTGTGTACAGAGGGAAATAAAATTGACTGTCTGAAGGTTTAAAGGGAAATATTCTATATTTTTATCACTGTCAACAAACCTTTCCCCCTGTATGCAGGTGTTCATCTGCAGTGATTCTGTGGAGGCCCGGCAGCAGATCATGGAGCTGGCCCGTCAGCTCAGCTTCCAGCCTGTGGACATGGGGACTCTGTCTTCTTCGCGGGACATTGAGAACATGCCACTGCAGTTATTTCCTGGCTGGAAGGGCCCCGTCCTCGCAGCCGTGGCCCTCTCCATCTTCTTTTTTGCTTACTCTTTTGTACGAGACATCATCCACCCGTACGTGAAATACAAGCAGAGTGACTTCTACAAGATCCCCATAGAGATGGTGAACCGGACTCTGCCCACTGTTGCCATCACCCTCCTGGCTCTGGTGTACCTGGCGGGGCAGCTGGCCGCCGCCCACCAGCTCTACTACGGCACCAAGTACAGGCACTTCCCTCACTGGCTGGAGGGCTGGCTGCAGAGCCGCAAACAGATGGGTCTGCTCAGCTTCTTCCTGGCTGCGGTGCACGTCCTCTACAGCCTCTGTCTGCCCATGAGGAGGTCTGAGAGGTACCTGCTGCTCAACACCGCCTACCAGCAGGTCAGTGGGGCGGAGGGAACGACATGAGGTCCACACAGACGCTCACACATTTCAACTTCCACCACACGAAGCTGAGGAATATGATCAGTGTCAGTCTGTTATCTGTTAGAGAGAGTTCAGGCTTCCTCAGTGTCACTTCCTTTAACTTCAACTTTAACAGTCAAAAGAACCTTTCCTTCAATCCATGTGTTTATATAAACTGTTATCACCTAAAGTGTCCCAGTGCAATACGTCCTGCATAGAGTCAAAACACATAAAAGAAAATATATCATGTCATAAAATAAATCATAAATGATGTGAGCAGATGACAACATGAATATATTTTATGGCAGTTAAACTGTCAGCAGAGGGAGACCTTCCAGTAAGTTCAGGTGGACACAGCTTCTTATCGTCACAGGGATGTTGCCAGGTTTGATACTGTTGTACCTGAATGATACTAAAACAAAACCTGCTCTCACAGACTGGATCTGGCATCCCACACTAAAGCTAGGGATGCTGCACATGAGTATCAGGCAGATGGATCTGCTGTTGTTCCAGCACATAACTCTCCCTAAAACCTCAAATCATCATGTTTCCTCTTCTCTTTGTGCACAGGAAGACAGGTTAGCCGGGTTAGCTCCAATGCTACCTGTCTTTATGCTAAGATAGGCTAACTACATACACTCTGCAGTAAACTGACCTCATGAGAGCTTCAAGGTGAGTCCAGCTTTATTTGTGAGGTGATAAAAATGTAGTTTTGAACACCATCAGTGCTTCATGTTCCTGAATGAATGTGTTTAACCAGATCTGAGACAGGTCGTATTGTTCAGGCTCGACAGAGCTGAAGCAGCTGACCTGTGTCCCAGCCTCCTCCTGCAGGTGACAGGTGACAGGTGATGACTGTGGTGACTCCGGTGTGTCTGCAGGTCCACGCTAATGTGGAGAACGCCTGGAACGAGGAGGAGGTGTGGAGGGTGGAGATGTACGTCTCCTTTGGGATCATGAGTCTGGGGCTCTTGTCCCTCCTGGCCATCACCTCCATCCCCTCCGTCCACAGCACGCTCAACTGGAGGGAGTTCAGCTTCATACAGGTACACACACACACACCAGAGGCTGACACTGTCTGTGTGTTCTGCAGCTTGAGTTGAGGTGGACTGAACATCTGACTGAGTTATGACTCTGGCAGGAAGGAGAATGTTTTTGATGCCATCAGCTCCACAGGTTTGTTTAAGAACCTGAACCTCCTCTCAGAGCTGTGTTTCTGCCTGGAACTGCTGAGCATGTTGGCCATGGTGTAGGTGACGCTCAGCCACTTTATTTCTCCACGTGAGGAAATAAAATCTCCACAGGTCACATGATCAGGTTGAAAATCATCTACATTTTTAAGAGCTTGAAGATCTGATCACTAAAGAGTCTGTCATGTAGAGAGCTGATAGAAACTAATGGTCACAGTTTCCATATTGACCTTTAAGGTGTATTGATTGATTTCCAAACGTCAATCATACACTGAGGAACACACAGGAAAACATTCCACCTTAAAAGGCGGTAGCTGCCGGCAGCCTCTGAGCTGCTCAGATGGTTCATCAGTAAAAACATCTTTTCATTCATCCTTCACTCTCTGACAGTTTCTGTATCTGTGATGCTTTTACACAGAAACATGACAGAGTCGTCTGTTACACCTGGACAGAAAGCTAGCTTAGCCTAGTCTGTTAGCTTAGCTACGTTTTCATAGCCTAGCCGGTTAGCTTAGCTTCTCTTCTGAAGAGGTGTTTCCAATGTGGTTTCATTTGCTCGACACAAGTCAGTAAATGAAAACGTAATAATATATATATACAGTATATATTTATCATACTGGACGTACACCTTAATATATACCTGCATAGTCTTAATTCATATACATCCTAATGTTCATAAAGCTTAATGAACCTGTTCATACAGTCAGTCTGACATCTGATCATGTGATCACTGTTCACTGCTCTGTGTAAACTTGTCGCCGTAGCAACAGTGGTTACATAACCATAGAAACAAGCCACAACTTAACTGTGCCCGTGCACGCATGTGCGCACGTCATAGGTGTGCTCTGGTACTTGGACAAATGGCACTACACCTCTGGTGTTAGCGAGTGCTCAAATCTGCAATAACTGGGGCGTCGTGGTCTAAGCAGGCGCCCCATGTGTAGAGGCTACAGTCCTCGCTGCAGTCGGCCCCGGTTCGAGTCCCGCATCAGACGGCCTTTGCTGCATGTCATTCCCCCTCTCTCTGCCTCCCCATTTCCTGTCTCTCTACTGTCCTGTCCATTAAAGGCATAAAAAAGCCCAAAAAAATATACTTTAAAAAAAAAAAAAAAATCTGCAATAACTAACCTGTACTTGTTTTTAGAACAGCAGCAGACACCTGTCCCCTACATCTCTCCCTTCACACCCCCCTGTACCTGTCCTGTTCGCCCTGGGGAGGGACACCTCAGAGATATAACAGTAAACAGTGTCTCATGGGAATGCAGCAGTGTAGCTGGAGTTGTGTGTCTGACCTGCTCCCTGTCTTTGCTCTAGTCCACTCTGGGCTACATCGCCCTGCTCATCGCCACCCTCCACGGCCTGCTGTTCGGCTGGAAGCGAGCCTTCGAGGAGGAGGCCTACCGTTTCTACCTGCCCCCCAGCTTCGTGGTGGCCCTGGCCCTGCCGGTGTGCGTCATCCTGGGCAAAGTGCTGATGCTGCTCCCCTGTGTCGCCCGCAAGCTCCATCGGATCCGGCGGGGCCAGGACAGCAGTCAGTACCGCTGCCAGCGCCTGGAGCCGGTGGGCTCGGCCGCCCACGTCTCACCTGAGAGAGTCACCATCATGTGATCGTCATGTGATCTGTCTTCACTGGGACGTCCACATACTCAGCCATGAGCCATGCTGTTTATTAAAGCTAATGAAGACTTGTCACTGAAAGGACAAATGACTGTTTGTTCTTGTGAACAGTGTCTGTCTCATGTCACCTGTCCACCTGTCCACCTGTGTATCGACTCCTCACTGTAACTATGATCTGCTGTTATGTCACAGCTGTTTGCCCAGACTGAGTTTGGACACATCATATATCACATACACATGTCAAACTGAATATTATTGTCAATATGCTCCAAATAATTTACCAATAATTCATCAGTACTTTGCTCTGACAGACATTACTCTGAGTGTTGCTTATTACTTTACATAAATCATATTTTATTCCACTTAGCTTGTAAAAACAGGAGGATAACTGTCTGAGAGAATAACCCCAGTGATGTCATAGTGATGTCACAGAGGGTGGAGACTACAGATTTATGTGCAACAGAAAACCTGGGGAATAGACCATATACACACAGCGGCCATTTTCCTCTGACGTCACACTGAGGGCGGGAAGTCTTGAACACTTTAATGTCTCTGAATGAATCCTGTGAGTCGTCGTTGTTTACTTCACCTTCTTTTGACCACATTGATTAATGGACAGATGAGTTCTCCAGGTGCTAAAGGTGGGGACAGGCCCACACTGGAAACACTGTAAGCTAATGCTAGGCTAGCAAACAGGAAGTTTACAAATAACATAAATGTCAGAGTTAGCGCTTCTAAAGTTGTCAGATGACACATGAATCCACTGGTTAAACATGAACTAACGTTGTCTGGTTTCATAATCAACCTGCATCAATGATACAGTCACATGACAGAGGAGCTTCACTGCTAACCTCACCAGGTGAAGAGCTAGCAGGGTGGCTAATGCCACTTGGCTAGCTTGATTCCATCCAGTGTTTCACTTCCAGACTGAACTAAACATGTCTGAGCTCTGTGTTGATGTTTCAGAATGAATTCATTTCTCTCGTCTTGTATCACGCAGCTCTGTCAAACAGTAATTATAGCTAAGAAGTGGTATGCTAACGTTAGCTGTAGCTAATGGTTTATCAAATATGTGGTTTTACCTTGAGATATGAGTCGACTTCTCATCAGGTTTCTGTTGCTCATCGATCGAACAGAAACAATCAGTCAGAATCTCTGTTGATGTGACGTCAGGTGAATGTGGTCTCGTGATGAAAAGGTGCTGCTGAGTAGTTCGTGAGCAGACGTTTTGTCTGTTGATTCTGCAGTTTGACGGTGTTATGTTTTCTGTCATGTGACTGTCCCAGTGAACACTGTATCTGATGGGTGACAGGGAGTGAAGCTGTTGTTAAAAATGAATTAGTTTGTCTCTGTAAACACAGTCACATGACCCGGTCCTCCTCAGTGTGTTAGATGTGTGTGAATCTCCATCAGCTCAGCAGGGTGTAACATCTGGGCTGATGTGAGTCCGTTCAATGTGACCTGTCGTCTTCATTATGTGACAGAGATGCTGCTGTTTCCTGATCAGTGAACACTTAATTCTCTGTAACGAGTTCAGCAGTGAAGTTCTTTGTGTTTCTCTGGTCGTCACCATGTGCAACTGTGACAGGAAATAAAGATGTGTCCAGTCTCTCCATGTGTCCGAGCCGTGGCTGTAACACAGCAGCAGATATCTAACAGTGTGCTCACTGCTCTACGTCCTGCTGATTGGTTCACAGATCTTCATCCACGTCACGTGATCCTGGTCTGATGAAATCCAGTCTAGTTCTGACTGCAGGTCAGAGACGGTGAGGAGACGTCAACTTCAAGAGGTCAGCAACAATCATGAAGGTGAGAGACAGAAGTATTATTATTATTATTATTGTAGTGACTTGGGTTCAACAAAATAAACCTAAGCCACAGTGAGGGGCTGCTACCGGGATGCGTAGTTGACGCATCGTCATAAGGTGGCTCCATATGATAAATCAAAACATCCGACTTGTGCTTACGATTACGATGTATTTATTTACAGTGTAACAAAACAGCCTTTGATATTCACTCACATAGGTTGTACCAATAACTTGCATGAAAATAAACAAAAAGGCGTAAACATTGGGCTCTAAACTGTGACGGTCAAAAACTGTGTGCTTCTCCCCGGTAAGCAGCACACCTGAGGAGTAATTGCCTCTTCTTCTACTTATACATTTCATGTGTTGCCATTCAATACGCCACCTACAGTGGCAACCAGTGCATTACTCTAACACACACACACAAATATACAAATGGCTCTAACACGCCAGCCCCTAATTGAATGACAACAGACATTACAATTACCTTCACATGTAAACAAAGAGCCATAACTTGAGTGACATGCATATAAAAGTGAATCTAACAACAATAACAACAAAAAAGAAAAACTTTTTTTTTTTTTCTCAAGGTCACTATCTCTCATCCCTAAGTGCTTCTGGCTTCCTGCAATAAGCAAAGCTTACTGACAGGTCTTTCCAAAATTTTTGTCTTTGTCTGGAGACGCACAGAGCGTACTAATCCTTTTTTGTCCGGGAAAGTCTTCAAAATTCTGCCCAGAAGCCAAGATCCACGAGGAGCAGCAGAATCCATAACAACAACAATGTCTCCTGGAATGAAGTTTCTCCTTGTCTGATTCCATTTCTGGCGTTCTTGCAGCAGAGGGAGGTATTCCTGTACCCATCTTTTCCAAAATAGATCTGCAATATACTGCACTTGTCGCCATCTCCTTTTCACATACATGTCATCCTTGTTAAAAAGTCCAGGTGACATGACTGGTTTCCCTTTCAACAGAAGAATGTGGTTATGAGTGGGAGGTTCGAGGGCATTAGGATCGTCTGAAAGGTTGGTGAGGGGACGACCATTCAATATAGACTCAACCTCACACAGGACTGTATGCAGACCGTCATCATCCAGAGTTTGCAAATGCAGCACAGAAGTGAGAACTTTCCTCACCATGCGGATAGCACGTTCCCAGACACCAGCATGGTGTGATGCTGAAGGTGGGTTAAAGTTCCACTGGATGCCATCTTGCAAAAGAACTCTCTGTATCCGGTTGTGATTTAATGATGATAGCGCTTCCCTCAGCTCTTTCTCTGCTCCCACAAAATTGGTTCCATTATCTGAACGCATACTGGACACTTGTCCTCTTCGACTGATGAACCTTCGTATAGCATTAATACATGCATCAGTGTCCAGGGATGGAGCGACTTCCAAATGAATGGCTCTGCTTGCAAGACAGGTAAAGATGACACCATAACGTTTACAGAGACTTCGACCTCTCTTTACTTCCAAAGGCCCGAAGTAATCTACTCCGACATTTGTAAAGGGAGGGAGATCAGGAAGAAGCCTTTCCTTTGGTAGGTCTGCCATTTTTTGCTCGCCTACTCTTCCCTTATATCGCCTGCAGAAGCAGCATTGTGTTATAATTTTCCTCACAGCTGCATTGGAATTTGTTATCCAAAAATTGTTGCGCAGCTTTGATAGAGTGAGATTTCTTCCACCATGACCCACTTGTTGGTGAATGTGCCTCAATATGAACATGGAGATGTACTAATCTTTTGACAGAATGAGTGGATGCTTAGTCTCTTCTGCAGTAGTGTAGTCTACGTGATACGCAGGTATACACCGTATACCCACTAGAAAAGGTCCCAACTTACCGTACAACCACTAAAAAATGCGCAAAGATACGTATCAGTAGGGGTTTTTGACATAACGTTCAATTCCCTTTAAAATCTGTGTCGCGAACGGTCACGAAGCGGGCTGTTTTGGACCACAGGGGCTTCCGTCAGGCGTGACGTGAAACCTACATAAGTTGAAATTTTTCTGGCGGGAAAAAGTAAACTAATGGGTGAACATTATTCATCATCAAAGAAAAAGCAATGAAACGAAAGAAGAACCAATTGACTCTATTTCAGTGTTTCAATGCTCGTCCGGTAAATACTGCCGCCGCTTCGGGGGATAGGACAGATGGAGCAGCAAACATCTCAGAAAGAGTCTGATGAAGAGGCTCTAGTATCTGATGGCAGCCAAGAGGAGCCTGCTAACGCTAGCGCCGTGCCTGGTAAGTGGAACTCATGTGTGTCCTAATAATACTAACCGCTATTGTAAGAGTAGATGATCGGCACTAACACTAGCGAACTGGTGGTTTGGTGAAACTGCTGCCTGTCTCTCTCTCTCTCTCCGCCTCTCTCTGCCTGTCTTTCCCTCTCTCCGCCTCTCTCTCTCTCTCTCTCTCTCTCTGTCTCTCTGTATGTGTGTACAGACAAGAGCTTAACCTGGCCAACCGTGTGGAGTGAAAGTCAGGCAAGGGATTTTAAAAGCAGGCATCCTTGGTTAGAATGGAGAAACGGAAAGGTAGGTAATATTAGAAAACATTTAAGCTGAAAAAAAAAACAATTTAAATGTACAAAGTTAAAGTGAATTTGAAAATGAAATTGTTAAAAAATTGATTCTTTGCCATAGCTGAAGGTTGTATACAGTTCATTAATTGGATTTGGCCCTGTTCTGTAGTCTTAATGCCAATATAAATAGAAAAAGGACAATATGTATTATGTTGTTATTTATTGACGTTTTTGTTTACATCCAGGTTGTGCTATCTGCAGTGCCACAAAGTCCACTGGTGTCCTCACAGAGAAGAGGGTATCAACATCTGAGGAGTGGGTGTCTTTTAAAATCCAGTGCTCAGGCACAAGTGACAGACTAACAGCTCTAGCGTCCTATAGGAACAAAATTCGGCGACATGAGACGTCTAGGGCGCACGAAATAGCTCAGGAGCTCACAGAAAAAGGAAAACGGGATCAACTTGGAAATATAGTAAGAACTATGTCAGAGACTGTGTTAGCCGAGACTGATGCTGTATTCAGAACAGCATACTATCTTCCCAAAATGAACCGACCTTTCACTGATCATTATGATCTTATTGAGCTTCAGCAAAAAAATGGTGTCAACATGGGTACTAGTCTGCACTCGAGGTACAGTTCCACAGCAATTGTGCAACACATAGC